ATTTGATTAGTTACTTTTATGATACCGGCTCATCGGCGCGGTTACAAGTTTTTTATGGTATCACATCTTTCTAGTATCATAGTTGAATCCTTAATATATATAATTTTTTATAATATAATACATGATTACATGTAATATATCATAAAAATAAATAAAATATTAAAAATAAAGATACTCTTAGGTCTTAATTTCCTCTATTAACATTCATCATTACTAACTGGAATAAGAATATGAGGTCGTTCTTAAATCTCTCTCTTTCTCTCTCTCTCTCTAACATCTCCCCTCTCCCATTAAATCCTAGGTTTAGACCCAAACTGATTTTGAAACTCAAATTTGCCAACTCAGTCCTGACCAAATTTCTATTCAATCCCATGAATTGCTTGAGTTTACTTGCTAGTGAGATAAGAATGGGAAGAAAGGATACCAACTATCTTTTATGTGCTTTTCCTATCAAATATTCATGGGTATGTTAATTCTTTCACCATATCCTAGTATTTCCCAAGTGAAAGCATCTCTTAAAAGTGCCTTCACCAAACTCTTTGGGATAGCTATACTTTGAACTATGTCTTCAAATGAATAGAGAAATTAGAAATAGTTGTTAGGGGATGGCATTTTCATTCTCGAATTAATATTTAAAAACAAGATAATAGACTTAAAATATTTGATAAAACATCTAACAATTGATTGGCACTGGAATTTACTTTAGCCATTTTTTTTTTAATTTAAACTTATCCCTTCTTTTGTTTTAAATAAAACTGATATTTGTCTTTTTTATTTTCCATTTAGGCCCTATTCATTTGGTGGTAAGTTATTTATTTGGGTAAATGCATTTACCCCAGTAAGTGTTACTTAAGAAAGTGTTATCTAGGAAAGTACATTTACTTGTGTTGTTTTGTAGAAAAACATTATTTGGGTAAGTTAGAGAATTTCCTAATAGACCCCCTAGCTTTTATATGATGACAGGGGCATATTAGTCCCACATAGTTTGGCCAATTTCTCCCTTCATGAATAAATAACTTTCCCACTTAGAAGATGGATAGAACTTTCCTGAGTAAATTGCCAAAAGTCTTACCTAGGGGAAAGTTGGATTACTGTTGTGGCTACCTGATCTAGAGGGAGGGATAGATTTTATATGGATATGGAGTTTGGAGTTGCCACCTAAATTTTTGGAATTGGGAACTTAGGAAAACCCGAGACTTTTAAAAAAATATTTTGCTTTTTTGGTGACTCATTGCCCAATGGGGATGAGATTTTTAGGGTCCAGGGACCAAGGTATGGTGTGGGAAGGTGTTAGGCACCCCACACATGCCCGGTCAAACCGACCTCTACTTCACCAATGTTCCAAGAAATATTTAATAATTTTGGGACCTCTTTATTAGAAATAATACATACACACACTAAACAAACAATTGAAGGGAATAACAATTCTATCTATTCATTTTATTAACTAAAAAAGGAGTATGTACTAGCAAAAAGACAAGAACACTAAAGAGAGAATGGCTAAGTAATGACTAAAGCAAGAAAATGTATGACTCTCAACAAATTAGAAAAAAAAAAATTAATCTATTGAATTTTTAAATGAAAATGGGATTTTCTAAACTGAAGTTGCGATGATAGATTTATGTATATGCCATGAAAAAGTTGGTAGAACAAGAAATGGATGCATGGAACTAAATAGATTAATCAAAACACTTGTTGAAATAAAGATCCAACTTGAGAAACATGCTGTCTTTTTTATGTATATGAGATAAAACAGATTTGGAGACTCTGAAATTGATTTTCAAATGGTGAGAATAAATGAGCCTACTAAATTATGTTGAAGTCTAAAACAAAATAAGATGTGCAGATGAAGACAAGGGAACTAAACTACATGTTGCAACTTGAAGTGATAAAGGTGCATTTGAATACTATGGATTTTTTCCTAATTTATTTTTTCAGATGCCTTCCTAGTAGAACAACAATAAACATGCAACTATCTAAGCCTTGTAAGCGTAACTACTCTAATGCATGAGAGAGATGCCGAGTAATTTTCTTTGCAAAAACATCTAAGTGGTGTCCTAATGTAAGCTAAAAGTGAAAGTGGTTAATAAATATATATAAATTGAAACAAATTAATAGTGTATGATCAAACTGAAATCCTAAGAGACTGAAAATTTGACAAAGGCTCAAATTATGACAAGAGAAGATTAAAAAAAGACATAGGAAAATATACTAAGAAATCTAAATTGACTAATTATGGCTCAAATATGCTACATGCATGACTGGTAGGAAAAACAAAAAAGAAGAGTGCTAATAACGTAAGATAAAGAACTAGATGGTAAAGCAATGAGATTGACTAAAGAAGGGGACACTCAAACTAAATAAATAAATAAACTTGAAAATGCAACGAAAGAAGAAAAAAAGGTGGTGGAATATTCGTCTTTGGACAATCAGTGGACTAATCCTACTAGCCAACTTTAAAAAAGAAAACAAGAAACTAAGAAAGAGAAAAAAAAGCATTAGTAGCAATCGTGCTGCTGGGTATGCTAACCGGTGTATCTTATGGAAGATTTTAACTAATCGAAATTGCCTTGATTTCCACCGGTGCATTCTCTTATAATAGCATAAATATTTTCAACAATTTTTACTTGGAAACCTCCGTAGGATGTGTTCTTGATCATTCCTTGGCTGTTTATGGGTTTGAATTATAGCCCAAGTGTTGGGAAATATGGTGGATGACTATAATTTTYTACAACATTGTTTGGACTCAAGGATGCTTCAAAGTTTACACCATGGATGTAAGAATGATTTGGTGGTTTCTTGGACTGTAATATTRATATTGGGGGCTCTAGAGACGTGAGAGATGGTAGGGAGAGAGTATAGGACGTGGGTTAGGGAAGCTTGGGACTGTTTGGGATGTGAAGGGAGGTATTCTCTAGGCTAATGGGGGTAGAGATCTCTCTCTAGGCTGGATTGTGTCTAGGTTAGACTGTGTGCCTAGGATGTGAGAAAAGGGGTGGTATTTATAAATTTTTTGAGAGGGGAATGGAAGGCTGAGATGGGAGATAAAAGAGATCGATGGCTGATGATTAAAGGGTTTTAGAGGGAGATTGATTGAGAGAATGGGCTCTCAAGATAGGTTTGGATGAGATCCTTTCAATCAATCAAGACAAAGAATGGAAGATTTCACCAATTTACCTAAATTGGACATTCCAAGCTTAGGTGATTGACTTGATTGATTAGAGACTCTTAGCTGATCAAATCTTAGATTTTTAAGATGCTTTTAGAAGAGGAACTTTGGGTCATGGGATGCCCTAGGCTTGAAGTTTCTATAAAGAGGATTCCAAACGGAGGGCCCGGATCGAGTCTAGCTTCGAGTTTCGAGATGAAGGGGTTAACGACGTCAGAATTGAACAATCTTGGTGCCGTTGGACTTGGAATTTCAAGATCCATCCACTTAAAAGGTTGAATTCCATATTTCATAAGGAATAGGGTTCAGATCAAAGATGATCCCGACCGGACGATTAGAATCGGTTCCGGCTTCGGGTCTTGAGATGATGGGGTAAATGGTGTCGGACTCGAGTAATCTTAGTGTGGTTGGATTTGGATTTTTAGGCTCTATGTACCTATGATTTTGGATTTCTAATTTGATATGAAATGAGGTTTATGATCAAAATGACTCTGATCGGATGATGAAAATTGGTTTCGGCTTCGGGTCTTGGGATGAAGGGGTAAATGGTGTTGGAATCGGGTGATATTGGTGTTGTTGGTTTAGATTTTTGGGCTCTATATACCTATGGTTTTGGATTTCCAATTTGATGTAAAATGAGGTTTATGATCAAAATGACTCCGATCGGATGATCAAAATCGGTTTCAACTTTGGGTCTTGGGATGAAGGGGTAAATGGTGTTGGATTTGGATGATCTTGGTGTCGTTAGGTTTGATTTTTTGGGCTCGACATACCTATGGTCTCGGATCCTTGAGGCCCCAACTTTTATAAAATTCAAAAAATACCCCTAGGTCAATTGAGAGGTTATTTAAAGAATGCTTGAAACTCAAAATGCTGCAAAAAGACTAAGAAACGCAAAAACAGGGTGTCTGTAAAATCCACACCAAAAAAAGAGAAAGTGGAAAAATTGGTTAACAATACAAATTGGAAATTAAATTGTGATCTTTACAAATACATGTACTAACATTCCATGTCTCATCTAGGGCTATAAACAACATCCGTTTTTATCTAAGATGGAATCCAAAATTGATTCATCTATAACATGGTTGAGGATTTTCCTCTTCTTTTTATCCTAAATACAATCAAGGATTGATCCATTGCAGTATGGTATGATCACGTAAGATCTGATTATATGCATTTAAGCATGCAAGGTTGGTGTATATTTTGGATGTTGATTATAATTTACTAAGTGTCTCAAAAAATTGTTAGTTATTTCATTTTATCATCTATATTTATATTATACCATATAATGCATATACTTGCATTGATTTTGGTACAGATGATAAAAGTTAAACGACTTAAATCAGAATTTCATATAAGGTTAATATTTTACTTGCATGTGCAATGTGCTTGTACACTAGTCTATATTATATGAAGCAGATACTTACCTTGAGTCCCGTATAAATCATAAAATTAAATCCAAGTGCCTTATGTCATATATGATTAATATTTACACACACATAGCATATACTCTTACACTAGTGATATATAATATCAAATCCATTTCTAGTTCCTTTTATTAATAAATAATATTTTGATAAGTTTTAATTAAATTTATTATAACACACCCAATATTTATATGATGGCCAAAATTTCATTAAAATTGAATACTAATGAGATGGTATTTGGATACAAGCATATCAAAGGGATGGGAAAGAGAAAAGAAATTAAAGAAAGAAAGTTCAATGTGATTAAACACCACAAGACTCTATTCAGTAAATCTAGGATGGACAAAAGGTCCTTTCGTCCATGATGCACATAATTGGCAGCTCACCCAATGGAATACCTCTGGACTAGGATTGGTCGTCTTCAATTTTCCCTCCATTAAAATTTAAAACCATCCCTCCTGCATGCGAAGATAAACACGAGCTTCTTACCTGCAAAAAGTCTCTATAAGACAATAATTTGTGATTCTTGAAAATAAGATTCAATTTCCATAAAAAAGAAACTGAAGTGATTGTGGGTGAGTTGAAATGACCCCAAATTGAATGTTTTCTATTTTTTTTTTCAAAAATTCAAAATAAAATTTGAAACACCACAATGCCCCAATATTCCATATAAGAATGATTAGATTCATTTTCCTAGCATAAATGGAACTGAATCGATTGTGAGTTTGCTATTTTCTATTTCCCAAAGGCTCAGTTTGGAAGGAGTACAAATACAAATATACAAATATGTAGAATGCAAAACCTTGTAATTTATATTATTTTGTATGTATTTGCACTGTACATATTTATATTTGTACTCCTTCCAAATTGAGCCAAAAATTCAAAAAATAATCACAAAACCTGGGGAATCAAGAGGAGTAATGAACAACTCTATTTTGTATGTATAATAGATTTATCTTTCCTTGTTTTTCATCTCTTGTYCTACCTTCAAGCTGCACAAGTCCCTTCTCTCTCTCTCTCTCTCCTTTTTTTCTATTTTGTGATATACGATTAAATAGAAATAATTCAAATAAGGTTTACTGATTGCATCATATAGATACAGTCTTCACTCAGACAGGAGGATTCGTAGAACAGCACCTCTATGTTGCCAAAAGAACCTCTCGCTCCTCTGATGTGCGTGGTAAGTGCGTGTATCTATGGTTTTTTTATACAATTTTCCATTTCCTAACAATGATAATTTGCTATCAATGTAATGTTGCTACTTGCTAGATCTAGACCCCACACTGCTTCACTACTCTGTATATTGAGAATATCTCTCTTATATTTGCATGTTACTATCCAATGAAGGTCTGGGGAGAGACAACTTTATGCAGCCTCTTGCAAATACAGAGGCTGTTTCCAAGATTTGAACCCTGGTCACCTAAGTCGCAATGTAACAACCAAACCATTACGCCAAGGCCCACCCTAAGACTCCACACTAACACACACACACAAAACAAAAGGAATCCTCAGGATAATATGGACTATGGAAAATACATTGAACCAGCTTGAGAACCATGTTGTTCCCGATTGGGTGTACTCCAAGCAGAATTTCTCTTGGTTTGCACAGGTTGATTGTACTCTTCCTCATTAATGGATGATGACCTCTCCGATTGGTTGTCCTTTAAGACTGGGTGCATGTATGCATCCTGGAGGTAGATTTTCAAGTTAAATTTGGGCTCTTTTGCACGCTCTAATGTATCCTTTCTCATTGCATCCTGTTGTCAGGCATAACAGAAATTAATATCACAAGTAGAAAAGTAAATGCAATCACATAATACGCATGTAACATATTATCAATTTCCTTCAGTTTTGTCTAGTTTCCCATTCACAACAAGGACAACATAAAACTTCCTCTATGCAGGTATAACCATCTCATGGTTGCAAATCCTTTTAAACCATCTTCCATACGTTTGGACCAAAGGATTACATGCACCAATAGGAAGATGCTTGTGCGGTCCTGACTGTGATGTGATAAGATGTAAACCCCTAGACTCTCCGCATTTGCACAAAAATTCCAGGTCTAATTTTTGTCCTTTTATCATTTGGCATCTCTCTGTAATGGAAAAGGATCATTATGCTAGGAATTACTCTTTTTCCCATCTTAAAAGAGATAGATCTAAACTGTGTCAGCTTTATTTTTATGACAACACCAGTGCTTCTGCTGCACCGTTTAAACATATCAAGGATTCAAGGCAAAGAATATGCAGGATCAAAGACACTGCAGATTTATCTGTGTGAATAGCAATAAAGGATTATTAACCTGTAAAGGGAATTTCACAAATGCTGATTCAAAACGAACTTTGCAGAACCTATGGAACCCAATGGTCAATACAGGAACTGGAATGAGTAATGATGCTAGGCCAGCTCCTTTTGTGCCCATCAATCCMATTAGCAGGAGTTGTGAAATGATCAACCCAATAACCAAACGGCGATGTACATCTGGCCAGAATGCTGCCCCACTCTCATATTTCTGATCATATACGTTGATAATCTTTGAAAATGGGAAAAAAAAATCCATGAGCAAGGTGTTCAAAAGAAAATTGGTCAGCTTGTTGCCACATAGGTTAATTGTCACAACTCCTGAAAATACCCTTAATGCTTGGTCAACAGAAATACATTCATAGCATTTGGTAATATATCTCAATTAGAAATATTAGAAACAGTAACAGAAGTTTAATTCATTTGGCATTATTTAAATTTTAAAGCAGAAAATTGGTCAGCTTGTTGTCATATAGGTTAATTGTCATAACTCCTGAAAATATCCTTATATGCTTGGTCAACAGAAATACATTCATAGCATTTGGTAAAATATCTTAATGAGAAATATTAAAAACAGTTAAACCGAACTTTAATTAATTTGGCATTATTTAAATTTTAAAGCAGATAAAAAAAAACAAAGAAACTAAAGTAACACTATCATCACTCAGCATATATGACTAATTTACCTATGAAGTTGAAAGTATCAGCATGTAAGCATTGATGGAGATCATACAGATCCTTAAGGACATATTATAGAAGGAGAAAAATACCAACCACACTGCTGATTTGGCAGGAATATTATTCTTGGAAAATGAGCTGATTCTTATCATACGGGTATCTTGGTCATTTTGATCAATGTATGTTGGGTCCAGCCTATTATTTTGGTTTGTATGGTCACAGTTTAGTTGTATTTAAAATTTCAAAGTCATTGGTTTAGTTTATGAGGTTTTAGTCTTTTATTAGAGTCTGAACGGCAGAACTGTAATTTTCAGTTTTATTAGTTTAAGGAGTTCAGCTGATCCTAAACAATCTATATATGCGCATAAGGTTGCAAAAATAAATCATGGTTAATTATTCTATACTATGTGACTTTTGGTGAGTGATTCCTAAAAGCCTTGGAGTGATTCTAGGAACTGCAGGAATGTGTCTTGGGCTTTTCTTCTCTTTTCTTTCAATATTTTTTTTTAATTCATCCACTAACAGCCAAAAAAGACCTCATAAAAAAGGCAACCAAAAGTTATCATTTATCATCAGCTAAAGGAGTAAATTGATCCTAGGTAAGCCTCCTCTCAATTCCCTTCAATTCTCAACATCCACACACCTTTTCTAGAGAGAGAGAGACTTCTCTCTCCAGATCATCCCAATCAAATCCTAGTGAAAACAAGGTTTGTTCAGCCATCCCCCATATCTAAGATTCTTCTTCATCCCACTAAAAAACTTTTCAAAATTTCCATTTAAAACCCTAGTTTTCAAAAGTTTTTAATTTTTCTTTTGAAAACTTTCTATCTTTTTTGTACCAAACCTTCTCAAGACCCCTTCAAATTCAATCTCCTCTGTTAGTTCACCAACCTAAACATCCCTCTAAATCAGTTTGAAGAAACCCCATTTCAATCCCTAGGTATTGAATTTTTTTTGTCTCTCTCTAGAAATTTCAGCACTAAATAAGTTTCCTAATGGCATACATATAGCCTTAGACAAACCTTCATCCACCTTCAAAAGGGTTGATGGGTTGTTGAGTGAGTCAACAACTTTTTGTAATATAACAGGTTAGGAGTTGACTTGAACCAGGATTTTGACTAGATCACTGGGTTACTGATTTGACCATCCATGTCAATGATGGGTTGAAAATACCAGTCCACACAGCTACTGACACCACCTGTACGGATGATGACATCAACAGAAGAAAAGCTAAACCCCCCTATGTTGTCTTGATGATCTCTTCTTGCTCTACTACCAACTTGCAACTCACCAGATGTGCAGTTCAATGTTAGATCAAGGAATAACGAGAAAGAAGAAAAAAAGGGAAAAAGAGGAAGAAAGATAAGTTTTAGGAAAAAGAGTGTTAGCCTAATTGGCCACTTATCCCATTATCATCTCCTTAATACAAAAAACAATGGAATTACAATAATGCCCTCACTCCCATTACATGCTTGTTTCTCTACAAAAAAGCATTAAGTTTGGTACTTAGAACACTAATATGTAGGGTAAAGTGTTGCCTTTGTTATTCAAATATAAATATGTAAGATAAATATTTATAGAGTTAATGCTAGATGTTGAACACAAGTTCTTCAAATATTAGAAGAAATGGGCATGTGACCCTCAAAAAGATGGAATCATAATAAACCTTACCTACCCTTATCTATATTGCTGATTGGAATATATAGACACACACAAACGCATGCACACACACACACACATACACAAAGTATAAAGAGTATAAGTGCAACTTGGGCAGGCTCAACCCAAGACCAACCCAACCCAATCCGAGTTTTTGCATAGGTTGGCCTGAGTTTTTCGAGTGCAGGCTGGGWTTGGGAAAAATAACTCAGGCCTGACCTAAATGTGGGTTGGGCTTGGATTGAAGCCTTGGGTAGCTCAAGCCCGCCGGAACAAATACATACATATATGTATTATATTTATATAAAACATATATTTTTTCTAATTATTTATACACATGTATGTCATGTATAAAATATGTATTTATAGATTTGTAAATGAAATTTGTACATATTTTAGTTGTAAATCACACCTGCAATAATCTAAATTAAAAGAAAAGAAACGGGAGAAAAGGAGATTGAAGAGAGAGAAGTGATGGAGGAAGAAGATAGAAGAAAAGGAAGAAGAAGAGAGAGTAGTTCAAAACCTCTCTTCAGCCCTCAATGATCTCTTTTATTCTTTTGTTGTAAAAAATAAGGACAATTACATGCCCTTAGTAGGGCATCCATCGCTAAAGATACAATAAAAAACAATAAAAAAAAAAGAGAAATCAGGCCCATAACTAAGGCGCACTACCTACTAACACAAGTCATAAACATAAAAAAAACAAAGAAACTAAGGCCCATTCGGCCCATTATCATGCTGCCCAGCTTGCTTACACAATGTTGTAACTTTGCCTTGGGGACACCCTTGGTCAAAACATCTGCTAACTATTGCTCTGAGGCAATAAAAGGAAGGCAAACTTCTCCGGAAGCTACCCTTTCTCTTATAAAATGCTAGTAAACTTCAATATGTTTTGTCCTATCATGCCGAACTGGGTTGTGAGCTATGTTGGTCATGCCAAACAAGCAGTTCATACCAAAGAGGAGAAGACAAATTTCTGGGGTGAAGAACTGAATAGTTCGGCCCAACTCCAAGAGCCTCAATATATAGATTAATGAAATAGGAATGTTTATAGAAAAGCCCTTGTAGGGCTAAGGAGAAAATAACAACAAAATAAGAGATACAATACAATAGGGACTACATTAATATGGTACATCAATGAGACCCTTCACACTCCCCCTCAAACTGATGCAAAGGCATGGACATCAGTTTGCTTACAAGGAATAATTGTCTGGATCTCAACATGGCCTTTGTGAAGATGTTTGCAACTTGCATATTGGAGGCAACATGAGGGGGAGAGATAGAGCCCGCAAGAAATAGGTAGCGGATAAAGTGGCAATCCACCTCAATATGCTTCATTCTTTCATGAAAGACATGATTAGAGGCAATCATAATAACACTAGTGTTGTCTACTGTTGAGCAAGAACTAGAGAAGAGAGGAGAGGAGAGGAGAATAGAGAGGGAGAGAAGAGAGGAGACTCGAGTGGACTAAGAGCCCTCCTTAACTCAGTGGGCGAGAGTTAGTATTATTATTTATACTGGCCCAGTCGTACATCATAAAGACAAGAGAAAATTATAATAGTACCTGATGGTGCGCAATCCGGCTGGTCCTAGCTGTCAACGACCTTGCCTCTAAATGAAGCTATAGGGAGCCTGAAACAGAGAAGATGAGGAAGCTCCGGGGGGAACCCGGTATGAATGCTCCGAAGCTCAAGTTAGAATTCTTAGGCAAGATAAAACCAGATGGCGCAAAGTTCACATACCTTGTTCTTGGGGGGTAGGGAGCCTTTTATAGCCACCTCGTGCACTCACTCCTAAGCTTCTGTCAGGTCGGGTATGATTA